GAGGCATGCCGGGAGTCGTAGTTCTCCCGGGGTCTGCCGGGCTGCGGGGACGCTCGCGGCCTTTGTCGGGGGCTCGTGCTGTGGGGCATGCTGGCTCCGCAAGGTCCGTCCGCCTGGGGCTGAGGCGCTCCCGGTTGCCTCTTCGGGGCCGCAGTCGGAGCCCGCGCCTCCCTCCGGGCGAGCGGGGCGGCGTGCGGAGCCGCGGCGGGGCCGCGCGGCCGGGGTCCCGAGGCGCTGGGCGGCGAGCGGCCTGGGCGGCCGGGCCCTGCGGGCGTCGCGCTGGCTCCCGGGAGGCCTGCGGGGAGGGAGCGACCCCGCCAGGTGAGCTGGGTGTGCCCGGGACTGTGGGGTGCGTGTCTGTCAGTGCTTCGTGGCTGCTTTTCTGAGGTTTCTTAGGGAAACAGAAACAATAACAAACAATAGCCAGTAGCTACGGAGAACGTAGGTATGCCAGGCAGTGGTCCAGTGCCTTAAGGGAATTAACTCACTAAACCTCGGGTAACCGATAGGTCGGCTGTACTCCGTTCCCATTTTACAGATGAACAAACCAAGGCCGAGAGTGGCCAAGAAATTTAACAAAATTTAACTGGGGTCTTGGTGACTTTAGGCAGGTCATAGCTCCCTAGTTCTCATCTCCCTCACATGTGTACAACTGGGCAGCAGTATTTATCACTATTATTATTATTATTATTACACACACCGCCTGGGGTGTGTGTCTGGGGAGCTGATTCGGGCTGTGGATGCTGTAAGAAGTGGCAGCTGCGGAGCATGCATTTAGGAGGGGCAATGGAACAGCAGTCGGGCGTGACGTGGGTGGGGCAGTGTTTTAATCACAGAACCGTGGGTAACGTATAAGCCCAGACCCAGATCTAGGGAGAGAGCCTGGGAAACTGTACAGGTTGTATTGTTACAGCAAGTGTTACAGCGACCGGTCCCAAAGGCATGACCGAGCGGCACGCAGAGTTGGAGAGTCAGCGTTTATTCTCGCGGCGGACCCAGAGGAGACTTGTCTCCAAATTCTGAGCACCACTTTCTCATTTTTGTCAGGTTTTATACTTTTTTGGGGTTAGACATATCCAATAGCATACAAGCATAAATGGTTAGCCAATTAGCAATAGGATTTAAAAGATAGCCAATTAGCAGCGCTTCTTACAAGCAGTAAAGTTACAACAGGCTCGTAACTTTGCTTACCCGTTTTGCGGTTTTAGCTAACAGGTGTATAATTCTACTTAGCTGCTTTTGTGGTTTTAAGCGGAATTAGCATTAAAATTTCCCCAACAGTATTATGTTTACAGTTCCTTGGGGAGAACACAGTACTCCACGGAAGGGCCAAGCACTGGGGTCGGTCACGAGGCAGAGAGAAGGGAAATGTGGGCCAGCCTCTTTTGTGGTTTGCACGAGGAGGGAAGGGTGAGGCAAGGCAAGCGAGCTTAGATCAAGCTAGCTAAGTTTGAAAGGGGCAGCCACAAGAAATTCACATTCACCGTGACTGCTAGGTGTATAGTTTAAAGCTGTCCAAGGACCCTGGATATCTGTGGGTGAGTCATAGTTTGCTTAGAGGTGGCTAATAGGCCCTAGGTGGAGGTTAGAGCATCAATGCATGGAAATTAGAGGTCTGGTTAATACAGAGAAGAGATGGAAGTTGGCAAATCGGCTTGGCAAATACTCTCTCTGCTTGGTTCGCGTCATTTATGTGGGGTGGCTTTGTTGGGAGTTGATGGCCATTCTCTTCAAGCCATCCCTTGACGCAGTTCCTCATGACACCTTTTTTTCTTTCCAGATTTACCTTGAGAGGAAAACTAAGAACGAAGTAATGGCCGTGGATTTGCTGCCTACTCAGGTGACAGTAAGTAAAGTTTGTCTTTTTGTAAATTGTCTTCTGGATTCAAAGATGGTGGACATGTTTCCATAGTTTGTCCAGGTACTTTTCTATCCAGTGAAAACAACGGATAATCCAGAGCCTCAAAAGTTTTTCCCAGGGTCCTAGGCATATCCAGGGGCTGCTGAGGAATGTGCCTCTTTTGTTTCCAGAACACCTTTAACTTACCCCAGACTCACTTTGTGACCAAAATCTGAGTCATCTCTGAACATATATGCTTCCTGCTACGATAGGTGCTTGGTCAGGAATGGGGGGTATTAGACAGGCTTTGACTTCACAGAGGATATAGTCACACTTGGGGCAAAGACATGGGAAGGCCAAAAGATACCTTCAATAAACATTTATTGAGCCCTGACTATGTACAGGATCCTATGTACATAGAAGAAGAGAGACATTATTTCTTCTTCAGGGAATTCATGGTACTGATCTTAGGAAATATGATTAAATGTCCAAGTAGGTTCAGAGGAAACATCCCAGAAGTGGGGAC